CTGTTATAATATGTATAATCAGATTTCAAAGTATTTTAAATACTTACAACAAATACGATTACACATTATGCTTTAAATTTTACAGTTTGTTTTTCATAAAAAAATTTTCACAGAGACCCGATGTATAAAAAAAAATATTTGTTTTTATGTTCATGGTCTCTAACATAATGTTGTCGCGATTGATTTTTTTGATGCATGCTGTTAGTTCAACAGTTTTTAACCCTTAACTACACGCACAATTTTTTTTTTTTTAATTTCTACACCAATTTAGTTTACACAGAAATCAATGTCGTATTGTATATATATTTGTTTTTATTTACTTATAAAAGAACAAATTTCTATTGTTTTAAATTAAATTATGGTCTTTAATTATCGCATTATCGTTTTCATCGCTTCCCACTTCTTCCGATGTTTCCGTATCCAATATGTCATTCACTGTATTTGGCGTAAGTTTTGACCCAATTTAATAATAATAATATAATTATTATATAATAATTAAATATTAGAAAAATAAATGGCATCATCGTCGATATAAGACGTAAAAATTACTTACATTATTACACGCGCAAAGTATTTCGTTCATCGATACAAAAAGGAGCTTGTTTATGCAACTATAAACATCAAATTACGACCATAAGTGTCAACTATAAATGTTTAAAATCTTACTATGTATAAAAAAAATCGGTAGATAATGCACGAAATCCGTAATTTTTTTTTTATAATGGATTACCAACCATATTATAGTCAGTATACTAAAAGTCAGTTATATTAAGGTGGCCGCACACGAGCAACTTTTTGTCGCGCAACTATTTTGTCTTTGTCACCATCTAGTTGCTTCGGTAATTGAGAGCGCGCACACGACGATCAACTATTTCCTGTAATAAATAATTACATAATAAAGGATTTAATAATCCTGTATAAATCGAATTGGTATCACATAATAATTGTGAACAAAATAAAACGTTATAACTAGGACTCGAAATGGACCGGAATGCACCGGCACGCAGTTTCGGTTTGCGACAAATTTTTTTTTAACGTTCCGATTCAAACAAATTTATACTGTACCTACCATATTTTGGTAAAATTTAAACATTTTGCAGAATTGTTCATGGTAAAATATTTAATAAACGTCAAACGATCGCAATACATAAGTACATTTATTGCTTATTTATACGATAATCGCCGTCTGCCCATAGTATATTTTAGTTTTACTTACACAATATATATGTGACTTTTAAAAGTTAAAAATAAGTAGTTAAAAATAAAACATTAGGTTGTTTGATTTGTAAAAATAAAACAAATTTAGGATTATCTGTTGTTGACATAACTCTTCACTTTTCCAAATCTTGTTCAATCATTTTGAATGGAAAGTCAAAAGAAACCTAAATGTCTAGTCTAAGAAAAAAAATATTTTAACACAATAAATCTAACGCTCATCTTAAAGCATTAGAATTACATAAACAATCAAAAGAAAAACAAATAGAAAAAAGTTTCGAAATAAGATTTTTGAAATTATTGAAAACAAAGTTCACTACTACTGAAAAAGTTTTTAGAATTATTTATAAAATTGTAAAAATTCAAAGACCTTGTGTTGATTTACTAAATAAAATAGATAATAGATTAACAAGTTTTAAATAGTATGAATATGGGAAATATTTTACACTCTGATAAAACGTCTGTGGATATAGCACTCCATATAGCACCAGAGATGAAAAAAAAATGATTTGCCAAAATATAATTTTAACTAAAACAGTATAAAATAGTAGGTACAACTTATGTATTAAAAAAGACTTAGTATTTTAGGAAGGAGAAATTATAATTTTGGTGGGTTAAAGCCCCTAATTCTATGGTATGTACTAAAAAAAAAAAGAGTTCCAGTTCAGAAAATTTTCAATTTCGAACACTGATTATAACGAAGAGCACAAGTGGTGCATGGTTGGCTATCAATCACGTAAGGTGACATATCCATTAAGTATGAATAAAATCATCACCTCCAATTTTTTTGAAAGGCATGTTAGAATTCAAAGATCTCTGTAAATAATTAAATAAGCAATCTCATTAGTAAGAATACTTTTTTCTACAGATCTTTAAACGGACAAATTAATAATACAAACAGCAACATCTTGACATGAAACACTGTGTACGTTGTCGTCGTTTTGCATATATGCATATGAGTATATATACCATACTTTTAAATGGAAATTGGATTTGTTGCGTTGATTGCTACATTTATCGGTAAGTTTTTATTACTAGTTAAAAATTATTACTTATTAGTATAATATGTTATAATATTGTGCATAGTGCTTTTTAAGTAAGCAAATTATAGCTGTTTTTTTTATTTTAGTTTGTAGGTTATAGCATTGATTTTATAATAAAAAATATATGTGTATTATGAAATCAGGGCATACATCAATTACGCCGAAAATCGCAGGTAAAGAAAGAAAAATTATGGGATAGAAAAAAGGTATACATCAACTGCGCCGATCGATATTCCAATGTTATAAATTGTGTACGCCAATTGCGCCGATCGATATTTTAATGTAATAAATGGTGTACGTCAATTACGCTGATCGATTCTTAAATATATATAAACGTCTATAATACTATTTCTATTATAACTACATATCGGTTTTTACGTGTTTTAATTTAATATATTATCTATACCATAAGTAAGTTTGAATTATATTATTGTATTACTTGAAGATAAAACAAATTACAAAATGTGGACAAATACCGTGTAGGTTATAAGTAAATCCATAGTATTGTGCAGTACAATTCCACGCGTTGTTCGTATAGTCGTTCGTTTAGTTGTCGTGGCTCGTGCTTAAATTTATAATGGAAATAGTATTAAGTGAACGTGGTAAAGAACTAATTATTTATCAAAATTATAAATTTTCTTACAAGGAACTTACGAAAAAAGGGCATAAATGGCGGTGCGCACACAAAAGTTGCAACTCTAAGCTGTACGTAGATGAGGGTAAAACTACAATTTTATTTGAAGAAATTAGACATGAACATCATCCTCCTAATAACCTGGAACGTCAAATTATATCAAATCAGGTGAAAAGAAAAGCAATGGACGATTTAACAGAAAAGCCGTTAAAAATAATAAGTAAGAAAATATCTAATCATTTAACAAACAACCTCAAAACCGACGATATTCCAAATATAAGACAAAACTTATATAGAGCTAGACGAAAAAATACTCCGATATTGTCCACAAATTTGAGAGAAACCCAAGAAGCTTTACTTAGCATTCCAACAATTACGAATAAAGACGAAGAATTTTTATTAATAAACGATTCTGAAAACAAAATAACGGCATTTTCAACAATGGCTAATTTGAAATTTCTCTGTAGTCAAGAAAAATTATTTATGGACGGGACATTTTCTTACTGTCCCAAATATTTTTATCAATTATTCACAATCCATACAGTTAAAAACGGTCATTATATTCCATTAGTTTTTTTTCTTTTGCCAAATAAAGAAACTAAAATTTATGAACAAGCATTTAATAGTTTAATTGAGGTATATAAATCGAAATTGTCTGTACATTTTCAACCAAAAATTTGCATTGTAAATTTTGAGCAAAGCATACATAAGGCTGTTCTTACAGTTTGGCCGAATATAATATTACGTGGTTGCCGATTTCACCTCTCTCAATCATGGTGGAGAAAAATCAAAAATTTAGGCTTATCTTCGGAATATAAAAATCATTCAAGTGACATTGGAAAATGGTTAAAGTGGATATTCGGCCTACCACTACGTGAACCTGAAATCGTCAGCAGTTGCTTCGCGGTTGATTTTATGAGCATTAAACCAATGGACGAACGAATTGATACGTTTTGTGATTACTTTGTTGATACGTATATTGGCGAAGATGCAACTTTCCCACCGTATCTTTGGGCATCGTGAAATATTTCAGGCGAAAGAACGACAAATGCCTGTAAGTCGTTTCACTCAGCATTTGGGAAATATTTTTATTCACCACATCCAAACATTTTTGTTTTTTATGAAGTTTTGAAAATTATTCAACTCCAATCATATATAAAAATAAATAGCGTCGAGAAAGAAAATAAGAATAAAAATCATAAGAATAAAAAACAAAAAACCATGGTTGAAGACAATATGTCCAAGTATTTAAATGGAAATTTAGATATGTTTGAATTTGTACAACGAATAAGCTACCACTACAAAAAATGATTATAAGGTAATTAAATATAAATCTATTTTTATATCTACATTTTCTAATTTTAATTTAATTTTTTTAGATTGAGATTAAGATTCAAGGCACTTCATCAGAAAGATAAATTTGTATGTAATATATATATGTAAATTATTTTTATTTACTTTTAACTAATATAACGTTTTTAATACCAGCGCAATAGATGTATTCCTATTTAATATACCTTTTTTATACCGGCGCAATAGATGTATACCTTTTTAATATACCTTTTTTATACCGGCGCAATAGATGTATACTATACAGGTAGTGTCCCAAATTCGGCGCAATTGACGAAACCCCTAAAATCAATGGTTATAGGTTATTTGACAACTAAATAATGCCTACTCCACTATCTAGTGACGGATTTGTGTGACGGTGTTGGAAACCGGTTCGATGTTCTGAACGCGCACCACCAAGCGAACCGATGACTATGCGTTTGGCCACAGCTGGCTTGTATTTTGAGGTTAATGATCATAAAACACTAATAATTATAAAGTAATTAAGTATGATGTAATTTAATTTCCATGATGCATACCTACGTCTCATAACGATAAATAATGCCTATATTCCATATAATGAAGTGAATGAACATTTTTCGTGAAAAATTAAAACGAAAACAATAACATTTAAAAAAAAAATATTATTTTATAGTGTAACGAAAATTGTTGTAGGCAAACATCGTAAATACTGTATAACAGACGAAATGCGTGACATAGTGAAATATAACAGGTGGACGAATACAGTAGAAATCATTTCGTTCGCAGGTATTGAAAAATTATATTTGTGTACAGAAAGGAGGTTGTTTTGCATTGTTAAACCCGCATCTGTGTAGGGTGTAAGGATTATGGAGGTGTATGGTCACCGGGAGAGGGCTGCTAGCCATAATTCCATTGTCCGGCCCGAGACTTCCAACTGGAACGGCGGTGAGAAGATTCCGGTACGGCGCCACTGCGTACAAATATTTCAACATACGTGATTTAACAGGCTTCCTCCAAATTATAATCGGTGGGCCTCACCGTAAATTTTTTTTTCTTTAAGTAAGTGTTAGTTTTGTCGCATGCGTCGTTTGATCGAAACACATCGTTAGTGAATAGGATTGGTATTTTTTTTTTCTCTGAGGCAGTGTGGTTCACTAACTGTACTCCACGGAGCTCTGGGGAAACATACGAATTAATATTGAATCAAATATTATTTTTGTAAAATTTTTACATATGAATGCAGTTATGAAATCACCGATTAAGTATCTATTCATATATCATTAATATTTTTATATTGAAATTTGAGCTATCCAGATTATAGAGTATGTACGGAACAGAACATAATTTGAAGGGACACTGTGATGTCATAATCTTCTTGGCAGAAGAAAAATTATACGTGAAAATGGAAATGTTTAAAATACAATAAATACATGGATAAAAACAATTAAACAATTTAAAATATTAATTTATAAATATTATGAAATATACACTTCAAATCCTAGATATGTAAATAAGCAATATTAAGTATGCAGATCTGACTTAATTCACTATAGGCTCGATAATCAGCAAATATATATTATAAGATCAAAGAAAGTAAAGTATAAATAATTATAGATCTGATTGTGGATTACAATTATACGATGCATTAGAGCCCAGTATCGTATATCAAGAATAAAAAATACGATTTTCATGAGCTTCCTATAAGATGAATAGCAATAAAAATATATGAACATGGAAATCATGAATAAAATATCGAATCCATTAAATATTTGTTAATATATTCCTAAACATTGTAATACCATTGGATGGAACGTTGCTGTCGTATTATAATTACTATGGTTACACAGTGGATTATACATTTTAATGTTTTTTTTTTTCAAATAAAGTTTTTCTTCAATAATAACTAGGCTTAGGGACTTTAGCATTTGCATATTTTTTTAATTATTGTTAAATATAGCAGAGTGCGAAATAAATTCGTTTCTAGGTGCCATGATATCAGATCTAAAATTTGAATGTGCATATTTTTGCATATTTGATAGATTTTGCAGGAGATTGCATATTTTAAAATGTTTATGCTTATTTTGCATATTTTGACAAATTTTTCAAATTTCAAATTAAAAATTATAAATACATATTTCAACATATCGAAAAAAAAATGTATTTAGAGGACTTAATACTTCCAGTAATATGCTATCTGCAAACTACCTCTCATATCTCGTTATAATTTTCGTGTAAGTATAAATAATACTATAAACCTGTATCGACCGTATAACCCGCTAGATATCGAACGGATGTCGATAAAGTTAGTTGATATAGAATAATAGATTATTTGTTTAGTGTCCAGTTCATTTGATTATTATCCAGGGTCGTTGCTAGGGGTAGGGGAAAGGTGCCTACGTCCTGGGCGAACATAAAAATGGAAACCTTGCGTTTAATGTTAAAAATTACAACGGTCAATGTCGTATATTTTGTTTACAAAATCTTTAACATCCTTCATATTATAATTAAAGCAATCATCGAAAAAAATATCTATTAAGCGTAGTATTTTCAAATCGAAAATACGTAAGGGCATATTTTGAAGATTTGCCCTGGGCGCAATGTTTGGTTGCTACGGCATTGTTACTATTCATCGTTGTTTTTGCGTCTCGCAACCAACGCAACACAACGTCGAATCATACGTAAAACGTCGTACGCGTATATTTTAGAACATTGTGTAATGCCGAAAGTAAAAAAAGTCTACGAGTAGCTGACTATAAAGTTTTGTTTCGGAGTTTAAAGATACATTTACATCCGATGAACATGTTTTATTTTGTGTTCTATGTGTTCATTTTTTTTTTTTTTTTTTTTTAATGCATATAAATGCATATTATAATTTATATTTTAATGATTTTAGAAGCATATTTGTGTATTTTTTAGAGCTTTAAGTCCCTAAGCCTAATAATTACCTTTAATGTGTGACAACATTATTACTTTAGTGAAAGATTATTAATATAGTGGTTATTTACATTCATATTATTCGGTTTGAACTGATTGCCGAGCGTGACGGTCGAATGTATTATCATGTGATTATACTTATTTAGAACCCAGCGTAAAGAAATTTCACTTCAATAACCCACCATATCGAATGTCCAAAGCTGAGAAAGTTAGCTAATTTTTCGAACTCTTTTTATAATTTGAATTAAAGGCATTTATGATATTTTTTTAATAACTACAGTCATAAATATGATATTTATAATATATATATATATATATATGAACTATGATTGTAAAATTACAAATAAATACGAAAAAATAGGGGCTACTACCTACTACTTATTTAAAAAATTAAACATGTATGTATCAATATTCATTATAGCAATCCGGATGTTATGCCTTATTTCTATAAAAAACTAGTTATAATTATTTAAAACACCATATATTATACATACCATACATATAATTATTTATATGAGAATACAAGTAGTGCCTGACTTAAATTATAATAAAGTATTATAAACACGGATAAAATTATAAATTTATATTTAATTTTTAAATTATTATAATTTTATTACATTAAAAAAAAAAAAAAAATAATATTTAAAAGTATATAAAATATAAATCATAACTAAATGAAAAAAAAAATTGTAACAAAAATGGATGAAATAATAAAAATTTGATTAAAAGTACAAACTGTTGAGTCTAAAAAGTAGGAATAAATTAATATAAACCATATAATATAAAGTAATGAAAATAATAATTATGTTAAGTGTAAACTATTGGAGCCGTATACGATAATAACAATGTAATTAATTAATATTAGAGAATTTTGACATAAGACTAATGACTATTGAATTAAATAACTAATAAAATATTACTAATTATAAATTATTGAACAACAAACATTTTTTTTTTTTCATTTTTTTTTTTTTTAATGTTTGATAGAATTTGTAGCTTAGACATATGACAAAAAAAAAAAAAAATTATTAAAATATGTAATAAAACGTCGTTGATTATTGAAATTAATAGTAAATAACAACTCTTAATATTATATTGTGTACAATTAAAATAATTTAACAATAATATATACCTATTCTAAAAGTTATGAAATACAATAAGTGACTTTTTGGTACGTTGGGATGCAGTTAATAACTTTTATGTAGGTTATAGCGTGGATATAGCTGACAGGTGAAACGATCTTTAGCTGTATCAATTGGGGTGGCGGATGAGGATTACAACTGCGGATGGAGATTGGTTTTTACGCATAGCGCTGTATGCTTCTTAACTCGAATGTAGAATAATCATACTGGTTTAAATTTTCTGTATATTGGTACAACATAATAATATTTAGTTATGGTCACATTTGTATTTATTTTGAGAAGTTATAGTAAGTATGGAGTTTTAAAAAATATAACGCTCTGATTAAATCGTTCAGTTCATTTTTTTTTCAATTTTAACAGTTTTAGTTTTTTTAATATATTGATTAATGTACTAAAGTTTATAAATATTTATTGGACCCTTCGCGGAATTACGCTTTTTTTTTGTCTTGAAATCTTTTTTCTGAAATTGAATATTCATGGTTTGGGGTGCTATTATTATTATTAGCTTGAGAGGTGATAGGACTCATTATTTTACTGTCTTTGCTAGCACTGCTAGCTAGAGATTTTGGCATAAATATCTTGGAATTCTTCACATTACTTTGAGTGTAGTTATCATTTATTTGTAGGCTATTATGATTTTTAAATTGAAACTTGAAAACCTCAACAGTACTAACAGATGGAGTGGTTTTATCATTAGGATTTTTATTTAAGTCATTAAAATAGCTCATTCTTTTATTTTCAATAGAAACATGTTCATGTATATCGTTGGTATAAGAATTCAATGTTTCAAAGTTTTTGGCGAAGGTTGATTGTGGTTCTGGGTCATCAAACAAATGGAAATTATTGTTGTTACCACCGGAATACATGCCATAACTCTCGTCCCCATACTCCAATAGTCTATTGTATTTACCACTTTCTCCATTTTCTAAGCTGTTTACATTTAATGACCAATTGAGATTTAAATCGCTACCTGTTATAAAATAATTATTTTGATTTGTATCATAACGGTTGTCATATTCAACGTTATAGTATTTATTATGTGTAAAATTATGATATGAACTCTGATCATCTGTAGCAAAGACATGAGACGGCTGACTCAATATTTCTTTTGAAGTCGCTGGTAACAATTCAACAGCAGAAAATGGAGTTTTTTGATTGGAGACTTGTTGATATTTTAATGTTGTGGGTTTGGGTTGAGTTGGCAATGGCGATTGCGCATTGTAAAGTTTTATGAGGGGGGTTGGAGTTTGTCGCAATGCTTGATACTTGTTATGATGTTGCAGTGATCGTCCAAATGTTGCGGTAGCAGACGTAAAAACCGGTTGACTCATTGTTAGTGATTTAATTTGATGCGATTGATTAAAATTGTAACCAGTAGAAGCAGTTTTAGCGCAATTACTGTTACTACTTTCTTGTTTAACATAATTGTTGTATAGACTGGAATTATTGGCAACAGTGGTAAAAGTCTGATAATTTAATTTTTTCGGTGGCTCTGGCAAAAACTTAACAGATGACAATAGTTTTTTTTGAATGGAGGCTTGTTGATTCTTGGATCTTGAATGTTTGATTTGAGCTGGTAATAGTGATTTCGAATTATGTTGTTCTGTGATAGGGGATGTACTCTGTAACGTTGTAGTAAAATGTGGAGGCTTCTTCAATGATTTGTCCCAGGTCTCTGGTGACAATTCAACAACAGAAAATGGTCTTTTCTGTGTGGAGGCTTGTTGATACTTGGATGTTGTAGGTTTGATTTGAGATGGCAATAGCGATTTCGAATTATGTTTTTCTGTGATAGGGGGTGGAGTCTGTAGCGTTGCAGTAAAATGTGGCGGCTTTTTTAATAATTTGTCCGAGGTCTCTGGTGACGATTCAACAACAGACAACTGTTTTTTCTCAATTGGTGTTGTGGGTTTGAGTTGAGTTGGCAATAGTGATTGCGAATTATGTTGTTCTGTTAGGGGTGGTGGATTATGTGATCGTACAGGTAAGTCGGACGGTTTGCAAGTGTATGAAATCGGATTTTCCAAATAATTCTCGCTTTCTTGGTACAACATATTTAACAAATTGTTTGCATTTGGCATTTTGAATTTCATCAATGGCGAACGAATTTAAAATATTGATGATATTATCTAAAAAAAAAAATAAATATGAGGAAAATATAGAGTACTTGATATAAAATATTGTGTTAAGTACCTATTGCTAGTAAAAATCATAACTAATTAGGGTTGAAATAGATGAAGATTTAGCTTAGTGCTTTTCGTTTAAAATTTTATACATATGGAACCGTATTTCTCAATTTTTTAAGCGTAAAATAGAACATATATCAATTATTGTAGAACCAGGATCTAAATACATAGGTTACGCAACATCAGTAAACGGATCTGCTTTTCAAATTAAAAAGAGTATTATTGAATTTTTAGAATCAAATAGTATAAATATTACAGATATTGTTGCAATTGTTTGTGATGATACAGTTGTAAACGCAGGCTTTAGAATAGGAGTTATTCGACAAATAGAAGAACATTTAAAGAAATCATTCTAGTGACTTATTTATCAACTTCATGCTAATGAATTTCCATTATGTCATTTATTTAAACATCTGGGCAACATAGACTTTCCGGTTCATTGGGAAAATAGATAAAAATATGTCACAAACTACCTGTGGTAAAATTTGATCAAATTGAAAGTAATTTACTTTTTTTATAAAATGAAATTGATTTAAGCACTGACCAAAAATATTTGTTTGAAATGTGTTTAAGTATTTCTAGTTGTTATTTTAGTATTGGTTTGTCTAAAAGAAATCCAGGAAAGCAAGTACATTATAGGTGGTTTATCACTGCTAATCATATTTTACGATTGTATGGTATTTCCAACGGATAATTTAAGAATTTTAGCTTAGTTTATATTAAAAGTGTGCGGTATCATGTAGTTTTATATAAATATGAATACATTTTGTTACATCTGGATCAAAACACCTTTGAAAAACCATACAATTTTCACGGTATCTACTAGACAACATACGAAAAATTATTGATCCTGTAATTCAACGAAATGCATATTTTGGATTACCTGAAAATATACTTATATGTATGTTATTCGATGATTGTAAAGACATTAAAAAAATAGCTCTGCCAAAAATTATTTTCATTCAAAAAAAGATTTTCGATTAGATTAAGTGTTCAAATCACTTTTTATACATGCTTAAAAATATAATTATTCAATTTAATAATTTATAATTATTTGATAAAATTCAATTTTATGTTTTTTCCCAAACATTTTATAATATTTTTCTAGAAATTTGAAAGAAATGACTTGCAGGTCGAAATGACAAGGCTTTGCACTTGAATAATTTTTTCAGGTTTCGGGTTTCGGGTGTTTAATATATTCGAGTGTTCAAATACCGCAATACAACATTTAAACAAACGTTTGGGTGTTAATAACCATTATTATTCGGGTTAATATTGGTTAATACGCGTGTTAAGTAGTCAAGGAAAAATATTATTTTCATTGATGGAGGGCGGTGGGGAAATTGAACCCCCTCCACAAATGAAATATTTATATTTTTGTTACCTACCTATGTAATAAAATATTAATATTTTATACAACTGTGCAACAGTTTTTTAGACGAAACTATCATTATGTTAATTTCAAGCAATGGTGTAACTACGATTTATTTTCGGGGAAGAGGGAATTATTTTATATGTGTATGAAGCTTATAAATTATATCTATTAAAATTAAAAATACTAACACTATGTCCTATTCGTAGTTAGTACGAACATATCGTATGCGACAAAAAACAATTTTGTATTCTGCGTTTGTATTTGTGGCATAGACGGAAATCGGGAGGGGGGTCTTGAGAGGATTAAGCCTCCAGAAATATAAAGAACAGGTCTTAGCCCACCTAGCTCTAAAAATTGTTAAGTGACTAAAAATGCAATAATTATTATAATTGTAAAATGCATTTTTAATAACCGAATTAAAAAAAAAAATATTTTGTGATAAAAATTAAATCAAATTCGTAAGATTTTACAAGCTTCTTGTCATGACTTGGGACGATCGCAATTAATGTAATATTAATAATATGTAATAATACCCGTATAGATTGTTTAATTTAATTAATTAATAATTTCTGTTTAGAATATCTACTCCAAAAATGTTTAAGATAAGGCACCTAATTGTTTTTTTGTTTAAATTGTTGATTAAAAATGTCAAACTGTCAAAGTTCGTAAATTGTCTTGGAATAAATATTGCGCACTGTGGTCTCTATAGGTGTAATAAGAAAATAATGCTCAGTCCCCCCTCCTCACAAATTTTACCAAATTTCGGTCATGTGCATAGTCAGTTATTCGATATTAGTTTCATTTCACAAAATAAAATTTTAATGCAACTAATTAAAATGATTATAATAGAAATCGTATTTATACTTATCATTAAATAAATTACGAAACATATGTTTTAGAAATCAAATTAAGATCCGATTCTGCGATGCACATATAATTTAGAATAGGATCATATTATATTCATATTTATATATGAATATAATTCATGACGTAATTTAAGGCAAATACCACAAAAATATTTTTATTGCCATACATAAAAAATAAAGTAAGTATACATAAACAAAGAAATACGATTTCTTTAAATCATCATATTATAAGAAAAAAGTTACAACATATTTGCATTGAAATTATTTTTTAATTAGCTAAAAGTAATAATTTACTTAATTATTTATCCCTTATCACAAATTTGAATTTATCATCAACACTACGTCTTATTATACCTTGAAACAGAGGTGTTAGGAATAAAAAGGTGTTTATAAAATTATTCGGCAACATAAAGTCATCAATTTACTTGGCATACAATGTAATAGAAGATTATGGGTTTAATTTAATCTTTACTATTCGGCATATATTTTTATATAATAAAACAATTATTAACTTATTACTATATAGGTCTGTGATTCTCAAAAATGGAAAATGTGTGGAATAAAAATTGCATGCATTTTTTCTGTATCACTTTTTCGTACTAACACAAATATTTAAATACTTAAATAATAAAGAAATAAATAATTGCTGCAAAATGTGTGTTATTGTATTTCATGGAATGTGCAATAATAATTCTATAATAATTATAAGATAATAAAATAATATACGAATAAGTATTACGATTTTATGGAAAACTTGAATTAAAACAATTTAGGGACCACTAATATAGGTTATACATAGTCCACATAGGTAAAATTTATTTTGTGGTTCCACAAGTAGATACCAGAACATTAATTTAACTAATTTGGTGTAACTCAACATAAAGTAAATCACAAATACTTAACATTAACATGATGGTAAAATAAATGGTACTGAAAATGTGTATAGATTTATTTTTATACTTATTAAATAAGATCTTTGGAGAATAAATTATTGACTTTTTTTCCATCAATAATTTTTTTATTTTGTAGAAATGTCAGTTTTCAGGCATGCCATATGGCACTTTTTTCTGTGAATAAAATGTGAAGTTAAAATCAACAATGCACCGGATTATGGTACCGTTAGGGATAGCTCAATACCAACTCCACCACTTTCAACGTACCCGTCTATATCAAATCGGTCACGGTAGTTCATTTTGTAGCACGAGTGTAGAGAAGACTTCGAGTGTTATACATGTATGATACATAATATTTTATATTTTGTACTATGCCATCACAAAAATATATGTCAACCTTAAAGGAAAATATACGAATAGTAAGATTCAGTTTTTTTCTTTTTTTTTTTTACATAGCAGGAACCACAAAAACGTGGTACTGGATATATATCAAATTGATCGATAAATTAAAACATGAAAGGTAAAAATTATTTATTTTCATATTTTTACATATTATCCTAATGTTTTATGCTTACTATACCTCATATTTTTCTGTTTTTTAAAGAATATATATGCATATATTTCATTGTTTTTTAACACATAAAGTTTAAAGTTCTGAATTAATTATCAGCTATAATATTCTTTCATATATTTAATAAATGTTTTTGATTTTATCCTAGTAGGACTGAATAAAAGAGGCAAGGCGGTAAAACAGACTTAAAGAATACTATCGTAAAATATCATTTGAAATACCCCCAAAAAAAAGGTTTCAAAATAAACTGCTATTGTTTCACTTATATTTTTTCAAGCATTCAATATGCACATTAATTTATAATATAGACGACCTGTTGGGCGAATCACGTGTATATTTGATCATTACATTAATTAATAAATATACATGAATTATTAAAGCATATCTACGCATGAAATAATGGGAATGTTTCCTAAACCCCCATCCAAGAATTAAATAACAAGGATTATGAATTACACTAAAAAAACATTTGAAACAAATCCAATATTTTGAATCATGATATTTATACGGATATGGATATTAGAATTTGCACATTGTGAAGTAAATATTTTTTATATTTATCAAGTATAGGGCTATTTTAAATATTATTGATCACGGTTTCAGAACGCCTGAAACTAATTGTAAATATATTTGTAGAAAATACCATGATAATTAAAAAGTATGTATTTCTAAAAATTAATTGAAAAAAAAATCGATTTTTCACTAACGTTAGAATTTAAAAAATATACTTGTATTTAAATTATGCACATAATATGTGGATTTAAATAATTAAATTGTAGGTGCAAATAAAATATACCTTAATGTGACGTGTTTTTGGATGTTGTTGAACTAATGAACCACGATTCCTCCGAAGACAAAAACCGGCGATCGAAATCGTATTGAACACTGATCGAAGTAGGTAGCGACTGACCTCGGTGATCGCAGTATAACCAAATAGATCTTATAGTTGATGATGTCGGATACACGAAAAACGAGAGTGCACACAACACACGATCCTAGTGACAGTTTTTAGTATTAGTCTTTGTGGACCTATCCAAACCTACGTTTTTTTTAACTATATTTTTTAATATTAAATTTTCTGATATTAATAACTCAAATTATAATATGCGATTTACAATATATATATATATGTTATGGCTAAATTATCCGAATATTGTGCACTCCAACTACACTGGTTGGATAAAGTAAACATTTAACATTTAAAATAATAGTTTTGAACACATTACCCGACTAAAGTA